AAAAAAAAAAAAAAAAACAGATTTTGAGGAAAAACGCCTAAAAATTTTGAGATTTTCTGTGAGCTAACAAAGTTTTTGGTTATCAGCTGGGCAATTTCAGCATTCAAATACAATATGAGGTTTCCTCTTTATATTAAAGGGGCAATATTATGTGTTTCTCAGGCATACATTTAAATACTATACCATAATAAAGTATCTATGTCACCTTTAGTTGTTATTAAAATGCTGTTTTTATGTTTAAATAGAAAATAAACTTATAATCACTTCCTCTTCTAAACGCATTGAAATTGGCCTCTGTCTCTTTAAGAACCACCTTCCTCTTCTGTCTCGCCCATTTCGGTGCTGGGGGGCGGGGGCTGCCATGATGCAGTTTACTTGGCATCTGAAAATACATTTCCTCAAAGACACGTCCCAGGGGTGTTTCTGGTCCCCACCTGTCGTTTTGCTCCTCAGCTTCCTAAAAACGCTGCAGGATTTCTCAAACATGCATGAATGAGTCAGAGCAAGGCTTTGTGCATGTTTTTATGAGAGTATAAAATTATAACATGATATAAAACTCAAAAGTTGTTTTTACATGATATTGCCCCTTTAACATCAAAAATTCTTAATTAAAATGACAAAAAAATTAGGATTCAGACCAAGTAATAATGTAATACWGTATTGTAACCAACAATTTTCCATWRTTAGTTTTTGTTGCCTTACATTAAACGTTGCATCAGGTGATTTTATATTGATTACATTTTCTCTGCGTTAACGCTGTTTTAATCGATACATTTTTCCCGCAGGTGACAAAGACCGACCTGGAGCAGCGTCATCCTCAGCTCGAGGACATTTTCACCTTGGCGCAGAACATCAAAAACAAAACCTCTAATCTTGACGTCCGCACATCCATCACTGAGAAACGTACGTTCGAAGACGGAAGCGTTTCCGTGTACAAAACACACGAGCTACTCCTAAAATAGACGGTATCTAAAAATAAACCACTTTTCTGTTATTAAAGTGAGCATCTTTTTTTTTTCTTTGCTCTTAGTGGAGAGAGTACGCAGCCAGTGGGACAGCACGCAGCACGGTGTTGAGGCTCGCCTTCAGCAGCTGGATAACATGATTGTCCACAGCGACCAGTGGGAGGACAAGAGGAAGGAGGTGAAGGCCCTTATTGCAAATAACGAAGGACGTCTCCACAACCTTCTSCAGCGTCCCAGCGATCCCCTGACAAAGCAGCTTGAAGACTGCAAGGTTAGGGCGTATTTTTTATTATTATTTTTTTACCCCATCATGTCTGCAGCTCCTTGTACCTGAGGTCGTTTAATGTGATTTCCTGTCCCTGTCACAATGGTAGACTAGACGTGTACTCCTGGGAAAATTTCCTTATAGGAATAAAAAAAAAAGTCAGACTTAACTCTGCAGTGTATCACAGCTCTTTAGAAAAGCTGTCCAAGTTAGGAATGAATAAGTCACTCCTCTGAAGTTTCACTTTGAACCTTAATGGGGTTCATTTACCCGTATCATCCAGCATTAGATTAACGGAGAGTGTCAAGAAACTAATTCTGTTTTTTAATCTGGTTTAGACTTTACTGCAGCCAAACACTAGAGGGCAACTGAGTTTAACACAACCCAGCAGCTCCGGATTCGTATCCTGGAGAATAATTGTCTATTTAAACCTGGGAACCTTACCTTTGATTAAAAAAAAAAGATAGAAGTTGTGTGATTATAATTTCATAGGTCATTTCCCAGTTTTAAATTAAAAATAATAATGATTTAGTTTCTATTTAATCTTCTTGATTAGGCTGAGTTTAAACAGTGTCGGGAGGCTGAGCAGTGGAATAACAAATCTCGTCGTGTTTAAAAAGTATTTAGTGTTCACCTTTAAGCACTGACCTTTATTTAGATTTTTTCGTTTATTTCAATTCAGTGATTGTCAGTGAAGTCAGCATCTTACCTTAAATGAACGCAAAATGCAAAATAAATGTGATGATAGAGCAAGTAAATGACTAAAAAAGAGGGAAACGAAGGAAAAAACAACATAGACACACAAATAATGCTACATCTATCACTACTACCACAATGTGTGGTGTGAGCCATCACCTGTTTGTTAGTCTGTATSTGGAAATCTCACAGTATCATTGTGTGTCTTTTCATTCCCTAATCAAATAAGCAGCCTACTGGTTATAAATGATGTTAAAGTCCCGGTGACTATGCTTCAAATACAAAAACATCTTCATCTTTAAGAAACGGCAAAATACAGATGATTTCATCCAATTTGCCACATAACAGGTGTATTTTCTTTTTAACTCRGCCCAGCCAAAGTGAAACAGGAAGTGACATCAAAGGGGAACTCTTTAAGAACGGGAACTTCCTGGTCTTTATTTATTAAAACAATAATATTCGAACTCTGACTCCATCTCTGATAGTGATTAAAGTTAATCTAAAGAAACATCAGATTCTTCTCCACAGTCTGTGTTGTTAGTTGTAGCTTTATTCACATGGAGAAATTCCCCTTTGACATCACTTCCTGTTGACTGCGCATACAAATATCTCAACAACTGTTCATGTCAGCAGCGTGAAATTGTTTTTTCAATGTGTCATTAATGTTATCTTTCCAAAAATGCTTTAATATTTTTTTTACTAAAATTTGATGTTACGGGTACTTTAAGTCATTTTTAGCAGGAGACAGAGCAAGTGACGTAGGCCACACCCTAAATCAGGCAATTAAGGAATTAGAAGCATTATAATCTCCTGTTACATTAGATAACATTAGGAATATTTCGGACCACAACCTCTTCATATAGGGATTTTTTATTATTTTTGTGAAATTCACTTTAGTGCAGTGAATTTGAGGTAGGATCCGATGTTGCATGAAACTGTCTCTAGCATAGGTTGGATGATCTACTCTCGTTACAACCTCCTCCCAAACATTGCCTCAAATTAACAATTGCATGTCCGTCTCCCAAACAGTTACCAACACWGTGCAAGTATTTGAAAAGTTTCAATATTTGAGGGGAGACCTGGTGTTTATTATCTTTCCATGCCAAGTTAATAAACATCAAACAGAACATTGGTGTAAAAAAAAAAAAAAGGAATTAAATAAAAAGTAATAAACTCTTGCGTCCATCAGAGTGACTCACAGTTTTCACAATGAGTTACCTCTGAGGTATTTTTAGCCTCATTGTTCTGCTGTCACATCACTTTTTGTTTTTACAGGAGGTCTTCCAAACTCTGGGTCGAGACCAGGTCGCAGTTACAGCCTTCAACGAGCTGTCCAATCACCTTTTACGAGAATACTCCTCAGACGACACCAGGAGGGTCAAAGAGGTCACAGAGAAACACAACGCTGCCTGGAACAGCATCAGCAGCAGGTGCGTCCAACACCCGCCCCGTCGATTACCCAAACTACAGCCTGCCACTCTTTTCCAACGCGTTCGACACGTTGGTTGTTTGCAGGGTGAGCGACCGGCGCGTCCAGCTGGATGGTGAGCTGAAGGGAGTCCAGGTGTCTCTCAGGGAGCTGGAGTCTTTCCTCAGGTGGCTSCAGGAGGCCGAGACGACAGTCACTGTCCTGTCCGACGCCTCGCAAAAGGAGAGTCTGTCTCAGGACTCGGCCCACGTGAAGGAGCTGAGGCGACAACTGGAGGTAGGGCTGGAAAGCGACATGCACAGGTGCTAACCTATTATCTCAGTGTCATCCTTCATTAACGCATCTCTCGCTAGCTGCACCGAAGCTGCAGTGTGTGTGTAAAAGGACATACAAAGGGCTTGTGGCTCATTGATCCTCTTGTCCTGTGCAGCTTAGGTAATCAGTTTGGGTGTGTTTTCTCCTCCTCTGACTGGTTTCTCAGTGACCCAGTCCTTCTCTTTGGGATCATTTGACACACATCATCTTAAATTTTATTTAACAGCATAATCCCACCATCTTTTTTTTCCATCAATAATAGGAGGCACACATCTTTCAGAACTGAAAATAAAACTATAATGGGGTACCACTTTACAATAAGGCTCCCCTTATAGATGGCTTATTAATAGTGTAAGAAATTTTGTTAAACTGGAATCGAGACGAAACCGCAAAATATTGAATAGATTAAAATGTAAAAAGAAGTGGAACCATTCAACCCAGATCTGGTTACGAGCCAAGCTTTATTGCTCCTGACTGGAGAAACCAAGCTGCGCTGCCTGAAACCAGAACTTCCGGTCCTTTTGTACAGTGGCTTCAGTGCCTGGTGCGCCCACTACTGGCCTACGGCTGAATCGCAGGCACTCAGACAAAAAAGCTGTTTGATTAACGGTTTTTTTTATGTGTTGTAAAAATGTTTCGGGCATGTATCTAAACTATTTTAATCAAGACAACAATAGTTAAACAATTGATTATAACAGTCAATACTTAAACAGGAAACCTAAGAAAATGGTGTAGTGCTTTTAAAATCAGTAACTAACCTGACTAATAAATTTCTTCAAATAGTTTATAGATAGGTTTTTAATTCATCTGTAAAACACTTTATAAAATGTTTATTATGCATTAATTAAGGACGAGAAAAGTAGCCTTATTGTAAAGTGGTACCCTATAATGTAATTTCTTCACTTTAAAGTAGCTCAAAGTCTAATGGAAAATGGCCCTGAATAAAATATATATATGATTACACAATTATTGTCTTTTAAGATTTTGTGGCTTTTGATGAAGTTTGGATTTGGTGTGACTGTTTTAGGAATCATTGGTTTTATATGCCATTGACATTGTCCACAACCCATTTTTGTGGTAAATGTGTTCAGTACGTCACTGAGTTGACTTCTAGGYTTCATCAAAAGCTAGTATCTACAGTAATATTGTCCCACCAACAGATTGTCTTTATCCTCTTTTTGTTTCATCACTGGATGAAGTTGAGACTTGATGGATGGAAGTCAGGAATAGAATCTGGGTTAATGAAGCCGAGACAGATGTTAAAGCTCASAGGATGAGCGTTAACACTGCGAGTCGACTGCTTTGCCACGGATCAGTGTTTAGTTACTTTAATTGCATTTTTTTTTCTTTTTGCTGTAGGCCGTTATCGTTCTGACTGCTGTTTCCATATTAAACTTACAAATGGTGGATAGTAGTCAGGAAAGTGACAAATGTAAATGTGAAGCTTTAAATGGAATTTACTGAAAACTGACAAGGCTGAGAGCCAGGATTACACTCCCTCTGAGGTTGTTATCATTGATACTCGGATAGTCAGGGCAGCGAGATCCACCAAATTGTATCTTGGGAAATATTCTTGGTTTTCTTTGCAAAGTTGGATTAGAATCGGGCACGAGTGGCAGTTAAATATGAGCTCAAATGAGATGAAGGTCACTGAGCTCAACAACATAAAATGAAGAGGTTTAAATGTTTAAATTAAATCTTTGACACTTATGTGTTTTGAGAAGAGAGGGGGTCTGTGCACGAAGCGGGAGTTTCTTGGTGTGTGGGAGGAGTTTGTCAATGACATGATTGATCTTTTTGACTTTTGTGGGAGGAGTTTGTCAATGACATGATCGGTCAGTTTGACTTTTGTGGGAGGAGTTTATTAAAGACATGACTGATCTGTTTGACTTTTGTGGGAGGAGTTTATTAAAGACACGATTGATCTTTTTGACTTTTGTGGGAGGAGTTTATTAAAGACACGATTGATCTGTTTGACTTTTGTGGGAGGAGTTTATTAAAGACATGATTGATCTGTTTGACTTTTGTGGGAGGAGTTTATTAAAGACACGATTGATCTTTTTGACTTTTGTGGGAGGAGTTTATTAAAGACATGACTGATCTGTTTGACTTTTGTGGGAGGAGTTTATTAAAGACACGACTGATCTGTTTGACTTTTGTGGGAGGAGTTTATTAAAGACACGATTGATCTTTTTGACTTTTGTGGGAGGAGTTTATTAAAGACATGATTGATCTGTTTGACTTTTGTGGGAGGAGTTTATTAAAGACATGATTGATCTGTTTGACTTGTGTGGGAGGAGTTTGTCAATGACATGATTGGTCAGTTTGACTTTTGTGGGAGGAGTTTATTAAAGACATGATTGATCTGTTTGACTTTTGTGGGAGGAGTTTGTCAATGACATGATTGGCCTGTTTGAATTGTGGGAGGAGTTTGTAAAAAATGTGATTGCACTTTCTTAGCACAGGACTTGAGTATGACATGTGTGTAATCTCTTTGTGATGGAGGACTTCATTGAACCTAATTTTCTGTAGATTTCACCCTGTAATTTGGATCTTATCATTAATCACTCCCATTCTTTAATCTGCAATTATCCTCCACAGCTTGGAACACCAAATACAGCACATTGGGTGAATGTGTACTCCATCTCATTTTCTTTCATTTCATGCTATGTAATGGCATATTATGTCGTCGCGGCTGACACATGGATCCTGGTGCACAGTAGCTCCATCATGCTCAGGCATCATGGAAAGCATTGAGATAATGGATTTCCAGCAGAAACGTGCAAAGGGACTCGCAGCCTGAAGAGGTGATTTGTATCGAGCTTGACACGGATGCGTTCAGCTCAGGGTGTTGGTATGTGAGCGTGTTTGTGTATCGAACAACTGAAACATCATTTCATTTAGTTATGATCTAGTTATGCCATTACCATTTAGGCAGAACCAACAGCACGTTTAGTCCCACTTCTAATTTCATATGAGGCTTCCAAGTCTGTAATCTGTGGAATGAGTGCAGTCGAATCTTTGTTTAAACCTTGTCTAAACGGAGCTCTCATCTCATCTCTCATCATGATTCTTTTGTGTGTGTGTGTGTGTGTGTGTGTGTGTGTGTGTGTGTGTGTGTGNTTTTTTTTTTTTTGGTTCTTTTCTGTTTCGTTCCATTTCTCTAAACTCAGACAATCAAGTATTTTTGTACTATAAATTAAACACAGTGTTTGTCTATGAAGGTTTAAACTAGTTGTATAGAGCAGTGTGTGTCAAGCCAGCTCATCCTCACTTCAAATACATGGATTTGGTTTTGCTGTTGGGACAGAGCTTTTTTCTGTCGACCTTTTGTGAAATTTAAATAAAATTCAGAGAAAGCGACTTTGCAGCTCTGCGGAAACTGACCGGCTGCAGAGCTTCTCCTTTCTTTGGCTGATTCAGATGTCCGATCGTAGCCGAGCTCTGACCTGCTGATTCTGATTTAAATCGATTCCAAGCTTTTTCTAAGAACTATAATTTTCACCAAAACAAAACAGCACCAGGATTTGTCGTCTTCCCGTTGTGTTCACAGGTCAGAAATATAAATTTTAGTTTGATTTCTGCTTAACCCTCTAAGGTTTGGGGTCTAAATGGCTGTTTTTGACAAATTATGAATTTACCCTTATATTTCCACCTTTAAAAACTATTTATCTTACCTTGTTTGGTATCATTATTTTCAGCACTACCTCAGCTTTGATTTTACACAGTGAACCAAAAAAAATACACACAAAAAACAAAATCCGAGTAGGAAAATTTTGGCTATTTTTATTATAAAATTCACAAAAATGTTTAACAAACCATTTTTCTAACCTATAATGAAAATCAATAGTGTAAATTCCATAAACATGTACAAATTTAGCAAAAAACAAAATTATATCCATGTTTTTACATTAAATTAAGTTAAGGTGGTATTTCACAATGTTGCTGATTAGTTAACGAACATCATTTCCAAGAGTGTCCAGAACGAGACACAACATAGGAAATGAAAATGTTTGCGCACTTGAACTTGGAACGTGTTAAGAAAATCATGTTAGCACGACTTGATCTCTTCTCTGTTTAGTTTCTATAAATCACAACATTCTGGAGCTGTGTTTTTACACATTAACAGAAGCTCTTGATTGACGATATCTCTTGAAAAAGCTTGTCAAAATCATCCTATCTTGATTTTAAAAGTGTACTCCCGTAAATTAAAGCCTAAACGTGGGGGCGGCTGCTAAAGCGAGCCAAGGCGGGGATCTCGTGGGTAGAGGTGGGCAACAAAATAGTATGCAGAGCCTGTTGAATACAGTATATCTATGTAAAACACAAAAATAATTCATTATTAAAAAAAGTGACTTAAAACAGCCAAATGGCTCGCTCGTCGTTTGGTTGCAAACACTCTGAGTTTAGTGGGATTGCAGTGGAAAATGAACTAATATTCTGACAATTTAAGACTAGTTTCCAACAATCACAGCCCACTAATTTACTACGATGTATTCCCTGACTAAGAAAAATAGATTTTGTGTCTGTTGGCTGGTTAATAAGTGCATAAGTTGCTTATCTCTTTTCAGCACATACATTATTCACAGATTTAGCTGTTTCTGAGGCTAAAAGATGCACAGAAGCCTTTAATTTATTCTTGACCTGATCTTTCTTTCCTTCCGCCGTGCTTTCCTCACCTTTTCTTCTCTTCATCTCCAGTTAATCTAATCTGACGTTGCATAAGAATAAACGTGCTCTGTCTTTCTGACACAGATAATGAAGTTGCAAAGTAGGACAAGTAACTTTTTTGTACATTCTTTCCAGTGTTCTCTGCAATTATAGCCCGTTTTTTAAAAATAATATCCTCTGTATTTGTCAATACAGACACCTGTGAATATTAATATTGTAGTTTTTAGGTTATATGTTTACTTTGTCAATTGCAGTTCCTCACATGACCACTTGGGGCAGTGTTTTAAAAG